CTTGCGCGGGGCCCAGCCATTCGACGCAGCCCGCCCGCGCAGGTAGGGCATAACAAATCTGGCGACACTGTCGGCGTGTGAAGGAAGTGACGCTGTTCTGTTTGACTCGACGTCGTCGTCGTGGTCGTCGTGGTCGTCGTCGTCGTCCTCCTTATCGTCGTCGTCATCGCCGTCGCGTTTGAACCCTTTCCCAGGGCCCGTGGCCGCTCCCGTCCCCCATTCACCGGGCCCTCCTCCTCAAGCGAGCCAGCCAAAGCGAAACCAAAGCGAAATTGCGCCACGTCGCAGTCGGCTCGCAGGGAAACCACTTCCTTTTGATCCCCCCCGAGGAAGGCTTCTGATCCATACCCCGGTGAACTGGTCCATACCCCAATGAACTGGTCCATTCCCTGGTGGCTCTGGGGAGTCGTCAAGTTTGCGGGCGTAACTGTGGCAAATGTTTCGAATGAGGTCGCCCTGGAAACACCTGAAAACCAAGCTGGCAGGCTGATGTGCAACCATTCATATCCCCCAGAAAGTTACCAAGGAATGGAACACTCGGTGCGCTTTGTAGTGGTAGTAGCAGTAGTAGTCGTAGTCGTAGTAGTCGTAGTAGTCGTAGTAGTAGTAGTAGTAGTAGTAGTAGTTGTTGTTGTTGTTGCAGCAGTAGTAGCAGCAGTAGTAGTGGTAAAAGCAGTAGTAGTGGTGGTAGTAGTAGTAGTAGTAGTCGTAGTCGTAGTCGTAGTCGTAGTCGTAGTCGTAGTCGTAGTCGTAGTCGTTGCAGTAGTAGTAGTAGTAGTAGTAGTAGTCGTAGTAGTAGTAGTAGTAGTAGTAGTAGTAGTAGTAGTAGTAGTAGTAGTAGTAGTAGTAGTAGTAGTAGTAGTAGTAGTAGTAGTAGTAGTAGTAGTAGTAGTAGTAGTAGTAGTAGTGGTAGTGGTAGTGGTAGTGGTAGTAGTAGTAGTAGTAGTAGTAGTAGTAGTGGTAGTGGTAGTAGTAGTGGTAGTAGTAGTAGTAGTACTCAGAATCGTAGTCGTAGCGGCAATCATAATCGTATGAGTAGTAGTAGTAGAAGAAGAAACAGTGGTAGTAATGGTAGTAGTACTAGTAGTAGTTATGAGGATAGTCGCAGCAGTGGCCGTAGTAGTAGAAGTAGTAGTGGTCGTAGTATAGGGGAGGAGATAATTATAGTCGTAGTAGAAGTAATAGTAGTAGTACTAGTCGTAGCAGTCGTGGGAATAGTAGTAGTCGTAGTAGTCCTTAGTAGTAGTAGAAGTAGACGTAGTAGTAGTAGTAGTAGTAGTAGTAGTAGTAGTAGTAGTAGTAGTAGTAGTAGTGTTTGTTGTTGTAGAGGCAGTGGTACTAGCAGTAGTTGTAGAACTTGTAGTAGTAATAGCAGTAATCATACTAGGTAGTCGTAGTAGTAGAAGTAGTAGCAGACATAATAACCATATGCATAAGAAGAATGCCCGTAGTCGTAGTGGTAGTAATTATAGTAGTAGTAGCCTCCGTGAGATTACAAGTTGTCGTAATCGTCACAGTAGCGGCGGTAGAAATAGCAGTCGTCGTCGGAATAATAGTGATAGTAGCAGCAGTAGCCGTAGTAGTAGCAGCAGCAGTAGTAGTAACAGTAGTAGCGGTAATAGTCGTTGAAGAAAAAACACTACAAGAGGTATCTGAAACCATACAGTGTGTGGGCAACGGTTATATAGCGTGTATGAAACGTAACCTAGCCGAACCTGATACGTGAATGAAACGTATGTGGAAAGCACACAATATGGAACTATGTCTGAAACGCATGCGTATAAAACCATGCATGAAAGAAGCTGAACATTATACGTGTGCGAAAAGTATGTGAAACCAACGTATATATGAAACGTATGTGTATGAAGCGAGTGGAACCCGACATTTCATTCAACGTCAGATCCCCGCCCCGAGATTACCCGCACGGCTTCCCGGAGGCTCACGAGGCGCTCTCAACAGGCCCCTACAGAATCCGAAGAGGCCCCGGGAAGGCCGAAGAGGCCCCGAAGAGTCCTGCAAAAGGCCGCCAAGGGGCATCCCAACAGATCCTGGTATCCACCCAAGACGCGTCAGCACAAGCTCGGGCACGGTGGCGGAGTGGGCCGAATGCCACTCGATAGTTGTGGACATCGCAAGATCCTCCACTCCTCCTCCTCCTCCTCCTCCTCCTCCTCCTCCTCCTCCTCCTCCTCCTCCTCCTCCTCCTCCTCCTCCTCCTCCTCCTGTTTTTCTCCTCTTCCTCCTCCCCCTCCTCCTCGTCCTCCTCCTTCTCCTCATTTGTGTTCCTCCTTCCCATCCTTCACCTTCTCCACCCATGCCCCCGAGACCGCCGTCGGCCACGGCCACGTGAGCTCCCCAAGAACTTGGGCGAAAAGACGCTCATGTACATGTGACAGCTGTCCTCGCCTTCCTCCTCCTCCTCCTCCTCCTCCTCCTCCTCCTCCTCCTCCTCCTCCTCCGCATCCTCTGTATCCTCCTCCATTTCCTGCTCTCTGTTTTTTCCCCGCCCATCCTCCTCCTCCTCCTCCTCCTCCTCCGCCTCCTCGTCGTTCACCTCCTCCTTCTCTTCCTCCCCCCACGCATCACCATATTCATGATCATCAGAAGCGTCAACATCGCTGTGAAAATCGTCGGTATCATCGTCATCAGCACCAGCAGTATCACCACCATCATCATCATCATGTTCAGCATCATCATCAGCATCGCCGTTACCATTCCTCCTCATAACCACTCCTCGGCATCATCAGTATCATCACCAGAAACCATCATAATCATCATCAACAACATCGTGATCGCCATCATCATCATCATCAGCATCATCATCATCAGCAGCATCATCATTACCATCTTCATTACCATCTTCACCATCACCATCATGATGATGATCATCAACCCCACCATTGTGAACATCATCACCTTGATCAACATCATCGTCACCATCATCACCAGCATCATCACCAACAGCATCGTAGTTGAAGCGCGAGACCATGCTGCACCCGTGAATCCGCGAAATATGGGGGATCCGAAAAAAACACCTACCCAAGCGACGTACCCAACCCCTGCGCAGTGCGGGGCACGAGTAGCTTGGGACACGTTATACAGAGGTGATGGTTTGACATGGACGCATATAATTCTGCGAGCGGCATTCGTGAGGCTCGCAGCCCCCCAGGGATGGCGAGGTTCCGCTCAAATCTGCGTGGTGCCTCAATCCGCTGAACCCGCCAGCAGCCTTCGAAAGTGGCGACAGTTTCGAAGATCGCAGCCCTCCAAGGACGGCGAGATCTCGCTCAGATCTGCACTGTGCCTCACCCCGCTGGACCCACCACCAGCGAAAATGGCGACAAATTTGCAGATCGCAGCCCCCTCAAGGACGGCGAGGTCTCGATCAGATCCGCGCGGTGCCTCGCTCCGCTGGACCCACCACCAGCTTTCGAACGTGGCGACAGGGACGGCGAGGTCTCGCTCAGATCCGCGCGGTGCCTCGCCCCGCTGGACCCACCAGCAGCCCTCGAAAGTGGCGGCAGTTTCGCAGATCGCAGCCACCCACGGACGGGGAGGTCTCGCTCAGATCCAAGCGGTGCCTCACCCCGTTGGACGCAACAGTAGCCCTCGAAAGTAGCGGCAGTTTCGCAGATCGCAGCCCCGCAGGGACGGCGAGGTCTTGCTCAAATCAGCGCGGTGCCCCACCCCGCTGGACCCACCACCAGCCCTCGAAAATGGCGACGTCTTCGCAGATCGCAGCCCCCCCACGGACGGCGAGGTCTCGATCAGATCCGCGCGGTGCCCCACCCCGCTGGACCCACCACCACCCCTCGAAAATGGCGCCGTCTTCGCAGATCGCAGCCCCCCCAGGGACGGCGAGGTCTCGCTCAGATCCAAGCGGTGCCTCGCTCCGTTGGACACATCAGCAGCCCGCGAAAGTGGCGGCATCTTCGACGGTCGCAGCCCCCCAAGGACGGCAAGGTCCCGCTCAGATCCGCGCGGTGTCTCACCCCGCTGGACCCACTACCACCCCTCGGAAGTGGCGACTAATTCGCAGATCGCAGCCCCCCACGGACGGCGAGGTCTCGCTCAGATCCGCGCGGTGCCTCACCCCGCTGGACCCATCACCAGCCCTCGAAAGTGGCAACAATTCCGCAGATCGCGGCCCCCCAGGGACGGCGAGGTCTCGCTCAAATCCGCGCGGTGCCTCACCCCGCTGGACCCACCACCGGCTTTCGAACGTGGCGACGGTTTCGCAGATCGCAGCCCCCCCCCCACGGACGGCGAGATCGCACTCAGATCCGCGCGGAGCCTCGCTCCGCTGGACCCATCACGCCCCTCGAAAATGGCGACAATTTCGCAGATCGCCCCCCCCCCCAAGGACGGCGAGGTCTCGATCAGATCCGCGCGGTGCTTCGCTCCACTGGACCCACCACCTGCTTTCGAACGTGGCGACAAGGACGGCGATGTCTCGCTCAGATCCGCGCGGTGCCTCACTCCATCGGGCCCACCAGCAGCCCTCGAAAGTGGCGACAACTTCGCAGATCGTAGCCACCCAGGGACGGCCAGATCTCGCTCAGATCCGCGCAGTGCCTCGCTCCGCTGGACCAACCACCAGACCTCGAAAGTGGCGACCGTGCCGCAGATCGCAGCCCAGCAAGGAGGAAGGGAGGAAGGGACGAAGGACGCGCGACCAGAGCTCTATTCAAAACGAATATCCAACCAAAAAGGGTTGGGAACAACATCCCCTGAAAAGGACCCATGTGATCCGTCAGTCCCAAAAAATCTGTGGGACCCAGGAGGACTGCTCGGAATGCATGAACATTCCTGAGGATGTCGTGGAATTCTGAGGAAATCCAAACGGTCGGCGCTTAGCGTATCCCCAGCAGAAACGATGCCCAGGAGAGCTGAGGTGATCAGGGAAGCGGAAGATCATGCAGAAGAACAAAGTGTAGGGGGAAACCGTCATACGCCCCAAGTGATGAAGGATGGGGTAAGAATCGGTAGATAGAGGAAGA